AATCTTTTAATATTAATTTTTATTATATATTTCTGGGTAATTATCCAGTGGCATCCCGAATAAATTTCACCCTCCCCAAAAATAAAAACCCTCCAAAATATTTGGACCCTGGCTTCAGGACTATAAGGCCGGCAATGAATATCCTGATCTATAGATATTTTTGTATTAATTATTAATTCAGCCTTGTTAATGTTTTCGCTTCCATCGTGTGGCCTTAAGCTCTTACCGTTGTTTTTTTATATATTTCGCTACTGTTAGTCCAAAAAGTCGTATATAAAAATTGAATTTTTTTTTTCAGAAGAGCATCATAAAAAATGATTATTTATTTATGATTTATTAGAATAATTTCATATTTTATTCCACTCTAGTATTTTTCATATTAGTAGACTACTTATTACAGTTGCACACTACAAAATGTCACTTTCGCCATACATTATAGTATAAATACAATAAACATGGATAATCGATATGTACGAATTTTTGCACTTCAATACACATGTATACTTCAATATACGTTTAGAAAATCACCACAAGCATAAATGAAATAATTTTTTTCATACAAATTCGAATGAGTTGTTGTTCGAGATGTTGGTGGAGGAAAAACTTTATCCTATAACTTCCTCATACAAGAATTAAAATTCCTGATTTGCCGGCCTTGAGGTAGAAGCGGACTGACTGGCTGTGCTTAGGTGGACTGACCAGCGTGCTCAATCTATTGCGCAGTCAATAGCCAGCGAATACTCCTTGCTTCGTGTCATGTTGCTCCTACTGATCTGCATCTTCCTCTTCTCTCTCCGCCATCCAGCTATCTCTGTAAGTATATATATATCCATTCGCAACATATATAAATTCCATTTATACAATATCTAGTGTGAAAGCACCAGTTATAAACAGGGAGCCCAGTGATATACAGGTTGGAAATAATAAGCTTCCTTGTGGATTTAAAGGTACAAGATTTTTCTAGATTGAAGAGAAATGCCCTCTATTGACAACTATATGCACAAAGTTCCCAAAAGATTATTATAATTATTATTAATACATAAACTTAAAATTTGACATAAAATTAAATTTTCGATCGCCCAATTTTTTTCCAATGAGCTAATTTTTCGGCTGCTTCACAGCTTCCCATCATAAATCCAGGAAATAGATCAGTTTAGCAGGTCTTTTGGCCACTGCCAACGTAATCGTTGAGGTGGGCTGTGCGGGATTCTATTGTGTTTAAGGTTTTCTGTCAGAGGACTTATGTTTTAAGTTAGTCTTTGGAGAAAGTTATTGTAGTTTTCTTTTGCAGTGTGTAAAATTGTTGGGATGTTCAAGTCTTTATGTAATCTATCGTTTGCGACATAAAGTGGTACGTCAACTATCCTTCGTAAAATTTTGTATTGGAAAGACTGGATTTTTTTAATATTGGAAGTTTTAGCAGAACTCCACAGTTCTATGTCATAAGTCCAAATCGGTTTAAGTGAAAATGTATAGAGAGTTAGTTTGTTAGTCAAAGATAATTTTAGAAGGTTTGCCAAGTAACCTAGATAAAATACCGTGTTTAATTCCACACGTTTTTGTCTAATGTGTGATAAAAACCCAAATATTTAATTACATCGGATGTATTTTATTAGCGATTTAAATGTTATTAAAATATATTTCGAGGAAAGGTTATTGGTCAATATTGGTCCAAGGACACTATCCTGAGATACTCCTGCTTTAATAGATTTAATGTCTGAATGATCTGTTCCTACTTTTTTCTATAAAATGTCTGTCTGTTAAATTGGTTAGAGGAAGTAAAATTTGAAGTTTGGAATGCAATCCTTCATGTCAAACTTTATCAAAAGCTTGACCATGTCAAGGAAAATTCCAGAACAATAATGTACAGATTCCAAAGAAGTAGAAATACAATCTACTAATAGATGGGATTTTTGAACAGTAAAATGATGCTTTCTGAAATCGAATTGACGATTTGGAATACATTTAAAGATATCAAGGGAATCGAGACGACGAAAAATATTTTTTTTAAATAATTTAGAAAAGCAAAGAAGAAGAATAATTGGACGATAGGAATTTGGAGAGTCTAAGGATTTGTTAGCTTTTAATAACACGACAACTTCAGAATATTTACAAATATTCAGGTTGGGGAATGGATGATTCTCAGTATAGAATTGTATATATTTGTTAGAAAAAGGATTGCTTTCCAAAGTAAATTTCTAATGATGAAATTTGTAATTAAGTCGCATTCCGGAGCTTTATTCATAGGCAAGCTCTAATTAAAATTTTGAACTTCGTAAGGAAGAATTGAATTTGGTGGTAATGTCATTAAGGATACGTCATTGTAATTTTGAGCAATTATAATAGATAGTTTGTCATTTATATCATCATGAGGTTTAAATGTTTCTTCGATTTCCCAAAAGAAAATTTTAAAATGCCTATCATTGTTGTTTCTATAGTGCTCTTGGGATATTAAGTATATCCATTCCCTAGCAACATATATCTATCCAGTGTCTTTGAGACAACTCCCATAATACAATATACATTCCATGTAACTTTTAGAAGATGGTATACATTTCGTTTAGTTTAACTCGAAACGAATTTAGTTACTAATTCTCAGTAACTGCTCCCTTCATGAACTGTTCATTCTCATAATAAGTTAAAAAGTTTTATTCAAGTTTATTCCCTCTTCCCCCACTCCCTGAAAAATAATAATATATTAATAGGATTTTATTTTTTTGCTTTATGCATGGCCATATTAGCCAATATACCAATAATAGTTAATTTTAGTTAATTTTAATTAGATACTTAATTTTAAATATTGTGTAATTGCTTGTTTCATGTTAATAACCTACGGCTTCAGAAAATTATTTTTTAACAATTAACTAACTAAATAAATAATAGAAGAGAAGGATGGTTTGGGTGACCAATCAAAATAAAAAAAAGTAAAAATAAATAATTATATTTATTATTATGATTCCCGACGTTTTGGCCCGAAGTTCAGTTCTTCATCAGGGCTAAGGAAAAATCAGATAACAATAGGTATGAGAAACTGTAAACATTGAACAATAAAGAATTAAAATTAAAAAGGTGAAAGGTATAGACTAAAAAATGTAGATAGAATAAACTTAAAGTAGATAGAATAATAACAGTGACAGAGAATCAATTTTATCAATCAAACTAGTTGATAGAATTTTTTTTATTGAAGCTTGTTCAATATTATTGAAACAGTGTCAATATAATTGCAGCTGTTAGGCCTACAGTGAGCAATATAATAATGGGAAGGGGAGGAGTCTGGGAGGATAGTGATATTGTTTGGAATATATCCTATATGCAATACATAATATATGCCTATATGAAAAAATATTATCTCAGTCAAATATTGAGTTGTTTCAAGCCCTTCCTGATGACAAAAAAGGGTTAGCACACCAAATACTTTAAACTAAAACGGTACAGTATTTTAATAAATGATCCCTTTTAGAGTTTAGGTGAGTTTATGAACCCAACATTTGACACCGTTAAACAAATTCTACTATACCTGATAGTAGATAGATAAAGTCCTTTGTAATGGAATTGTAATATACAAGATAGATATGTTCATGAAGTTCACGCTATAGCAATTTATTGGAGGGGGAGGGGACTGAGCCCCTAACACGGCACAATTGTGGAGGAGGAGGGGGGGAGACAGCTCAAGCACTGCGAGTCCCTTGTAATCAGCGCCTTTGCTCTTAACTAGACCGAATAAAATTTCAAAGAAAACAATTGAGTTCCTGCCATTTTCCTCTTTAATCATTCATTGTTCTTCTTCTTCTTCGTTCTTCCCTCTACATAAATATGTCAGAGTGTAAAAAAACAAAGTTAGCGGTTGTACTTAGGTACTTGGTTCTCCTCCGAACAGCTTGGTCTCGAGGTTTAGCGGTCTTGACAATAGCGTCCTCGAAGTCTCCACCTAAAGTTTCTCAGGCCTCTTTACTCCCCTAGTTTTGAGTGAGGACCAGTCTCTAGGTCTTCTCTAGCTACTAGGTACTACCTCTCCTCAGCCTCTTGCGTATGATTGGTGCAGGCTAAAACTTTATTCAAACCACCCACTATTTTTGTAGTCCACCTTTATTTCTATTTTGTGATCAAATTGTCTTACGATTCAAGTGTAAAGCAAATGGGTGTTCATCAGTTTTCAAATCCTAATTAAAAAGACAAATTTTGCCGATCTCCAGCTTAGAACGCCCCAACCTCGAGAATTTTCGTAAATAAAAAAGTTGAAGGTTACGATCAGATGAAGCTATTCATAAAGGTTTAGGCAGATATTAATAATTTGATAAAAAGAGGTCTTTACCACGGACTTTTAATTAAATTATTAGTTTTCCTAGCACAATATCAAAAATTATCAAAAGATTTTTTAAAAAATGTTTCTGTAAAAATGTTAGATTAAAGTCAAACTGAAATTCAAATGAGTTAGTTTTGCAGGCGGAGTTAGAAACGCTCATCCGGCCAGTTCTTAAGTACGGTGGCAAAACATGGATCTTAGCAAAAAAAGACCTTCTAGTCTTTGAAAGGAAAATCCTTAGAAGAATATTTGGCCCTATAAAGGAGGGACTGGATTGGAGAATTAGGAAGAATAGAGAGGTCTACAAATTTTTTAATGAACCTAATGTGGCAAAAATGATAAAATTAGCAAGGTTAAGCTGGGCAGGACACATAGCTCGGATGGAGAGGTCTGAAATCCCGATAAGAGTGTTTGAAGAACCATTACACTAGACAAGGGCGCGAGATGGGAGTTGAAATTTGAATGTGGCCGCACAGAATAGAGTAATTTGACATAAGCTCATTGAGGAAGACAGGAACCACTGAGGGTTGCAAACCATTTAAGATAGATAGATAGTTCTGCCCAGCGGGCTTTATCTTACTTATCACTAAAAGTTATAAAAATATCTTGTGAATATTTAAAATGATAAGCTTCTGTGATGGTATGTATGTATTAGTAATTAGATACATTTTTACCTTAATTGTATTTTTTTTTTCAGATGAGAGATGATCTAGACGAAAATTTCGATTCGGAACCAGAGCCCTTCGTTGATGACGTCGACAACACCGGTTTGGAAAGTGAATTAGATGGCACTCCATTACACTTTGCAGTAAGAAATGAAAACATCGACGAGATTACAGCACTTCTTGATAGTGGTATTGACGTAGATGTTAAAGAAAAAGGAGGTTTTACACCTTTGCACATCGCTGCAGAGGTAGGAAACGAATCTGTTGTATATTTACTACTGTCCAAAAATGCAAGTGTTGAAATCCGAGACGATACCAATAACGCTCCAATACATGTTGCAGCACTCAATGGAAATCTTAAGGTTCTTAATATTTTTCTCAATTACACTTCTGATGTTAATATTAAAGGATCTGATGGTTTTACACCGTTACATTACGCTGCTTGGAATGGATACGAATCAATTGTGAATTTATTGTTGTCCAAAAATGCTAGTGTTAACATAAAAGACGATTTCAAAGATACTCCGATTCATATGGCAGCGAAAAGTGGCAATATCATTGTGTTTAAAAGACTACTCGATTACGCATCTGATCTTAACATGAAAGGATCTGGGGGTTTGACATTTTTACATATCGCTGCTGAGGAAGGCTTCGAATCTATCGTAAATTTGCTGTTGTCAAAAAATGTAAGTGTCAACATCAGAGACGAAACCAATGACACTCCAATACATAAAGCAGCGTTCACAGGCAATTTAAATGTGTTTAAAAATCTTCTAGATCACACCTCTGATGTTAATGTTAAAGGATCTTATGGTCTTACACCTTTACACATCGCTGCAGAAAAGGAATACGAATCAATCGTGGATTTATTGCTATCTAAAAATGCAAGTGTTAACATAAGAGACGATATCGATGATACTCCATTACATAAAGCAGCATCCAGTGGGAACCTCAAACTGTTTAAAGTTATTTACGATCTTGTTACAGATGTCAATATTCAAGGAAAAGGAGGTTTAACACCATTACATATCGCCGCTGAAAAGGGCAAAGAGACAATCGTGAGTTTTCTGTTGTCAAAAAATGCAAGTGTAGAAATAAGAGATTATGATGGTGATACACCAATACATAAAGCAGCATTAAGTGGAAATTTTAATGTATTTAAAAATCTTCTTGGTCACACCTCGGATGTTAATGCTATAGGATATAATGGTCTGACACCACTACATATCGCTGCAGAAATGGGCTACGAATCTATCGTGAATTTGTTATTGTTAAAAAATGCAAGGGTTGACATAAAAGACGATTTCAAAGACACTCCAATTCATATGGCAGCGAAAAGTGGCAATATCATTGTGTTTAAAAGACTTCTCGATTACGCATCTGATTTTAACATGAAAGGATCTGGTGGTTTGACATTTTTACATATCGCTGCTGAGGAAGGCTACGAATCTATCGTAAATTTGCTGTTGTCAAAAAATGTCAGTGTCAACATCAGAGACGACACCAATGACACTCCAATACATAAAGCAGGGTTCAAAGGTAATTTAAATGTGTTTAAAAGTGTTCTCGATCGCACCACTGATGTTAATATTAAAGGGTCCTACGGTTTTACACCTTTACATATCGCTGCAGAAAATGGCTTCGAATCAATCGTGAATTTATTGCTATCTAAAAACGCAAGTGTTAACATAAGAGACGATATCGATGATACTCCATTACATAAAGCAGCATCCAGTGGGAACCTCGACCTGTTTAAAGTTATTTTCGACCTTGTTACAGATGTCAATATTCAAGGAAAAGGAGGTTTAACACCATTACATATCGCCGCTGAAAAGGGTATAGAGTCTATCGTGAGTTTGCTATTGTCGAAAAATGCAAGTGTAGAAATAAGAGATAATGATGGCGACAAGCCGATACATAGAGCAGCATTTAGTGGGAATTTTAATGCATTTAAAAATCTTCTTGATTACACCTCAGATATTAATGCCATAGGATATAATGGTATGACACCACTACATATCGCTGCTGAAATGGGCTACGAATCTATCGTGAATTTGTTATTGTCCAAGAACGCAAGTGTTGAGATAAAAGATGATACAAATGACATTCCAATTCATAAGGCAGCGTTAAGTGGAAATATCAATGTGTTTAATGATATTCTCGACCGTGTGAAAGACGTTAATATTAAAGGATCCGTTGGTCGCACACCTTTGTTTTTGGCTGCCTCTTCCGGCTTTGGATCAATCGTAACTTTGCTGTTGTCTAAAAATGCTAGCGTAAATATAAAAAACGATGAAGATGACACTCCATTACATTATACATTACGAAATGGGTTTTTAAATATTGTTAAAAAACTTCTCAGCCACACTAAAAATGTTAATCTTAAGGATTATAAAGGCATGACACCTCTGCATATCGCTGCTGAGTCAGGCTACGAATATATTTTGAATTTGCTGTTATCTAAAAATGCCAGGGTAGACATGAGAGATAACACCAATGATACTCCAATTCATTATGCGCTACAAAATGGGAAGCTAAATATCGTTAAGATACTCCTCAATCATGGCGCTGATATCAATATGAAAGGACGAAAAGGCCTGACACCGCTACACATTGCTGTTGATAAGGGCTACGAGACTATCGTAAATTTACTACTTTCCAACAATGCTAAAGTGGATATAAAGAATGATATTGGTATAACACCCTTGCATTTGGCAGTGATTCAAAAGAATATCAACATTATCAAAATTCTCCTTGACAACGGGGCAAAAGTGAATATCCAGGGAAATACAGGAATGACACCTTTAATGTTCGCTGCTTCGAACGGCGATGATGCTATTGTGAATTTACTTATTTCAAAAAATGCGTCATTAGAACTTCGAGACCATGTCGGTAATGCTGCAATAAACTTTGCGGCTCTTAGTGGAAACGTTAAAGTGATTAACATGTTACTTCGTCATGGCGCTGACGTTAATAATAAAGGAGAACATGGCAAAACCCCTCTCAATTTTGTAATTCGAAAAGGTGATGAAAATTTGAATAAATTCCTTGAAAGAGATATAGTATCTACTCAAGAACTGATGGAATATTACAATATTAGTACCACTGCTGATGCAGAATCTGAAATGGTGGCTGCAATGAATACGCTATTAGAACACGGGGCCAATCTAAACTCGCGAAATCTCCTCGATCAAACAGTGCTGCATGAAGCTGCTGCTATAGGTTATGCTCGTGTCGTTGAATACCTGCTATCTCAAAACGCCAGTTTCAGTATCGAAGGTTATCTTTGCCTAACTCCTCTCCAATGGGCAGCTAACAATGGAAATGTAGATGTGATAAAGATCTTGTTAGCATACGGAGATGACGTCAATAGAAAAGGATGCAATAATATCACAGCATTGCAGTTAGCAGTAAGAAAAAACGACATTAGTTTTATTAAATTTCTTTTGTCTGAAAATGCTGATCCAAACATAATGAGTCAAGACGGGCGAACGCCTTTAGATTTAGCTTTTAATCCTTTGTCTCAAGAAGTCATGAAATTACTTCTTGTTCATGGAGCGAAAGTGGAAGATAATAGTTTCTTAGGATCGAAAATTCTTTTCGATGCTGTTTCAAATAAATCAGTAGAAGTAGTAAACCTTCTATTGGACAATGTTGACAGTTTAGGATCCTACCCGACAGTAATTCTTAACCATGCAATCGCCACGCGTTTTTCAGAGGCAATATATTTGTTTATCTCTCACGGAGCAAACATCGAGCAGAAAGACATCCATGGCAATCGTCCTCTTAGTGCAGCAGTTATGTCGAATAGTACTGAGATCGTTAAATTACTTTTAGAAACAGGTTCGAATAAAATCGCTAAGAAAAATTTTCAAAGATTTCTAGATGTAGACGGCGACGTAAAACTCCTTACTGCCAAGAAAAACGTGATAGAGCTCCGTAATGTGGCAGCATTACACATCGCAGCCTTCTACGGTCTCACGGAAATAGTCGGATTGTTGATAACATACGGTGTTTCATTAGACGTTAGAGATAAACGGGGATATTCCCCAATGCATTATGCCTGTAAGAATGGTCATTACGAAGTTGTGAAACAGCTTATAGATTCTGGATCCAATAAAAATTCTGTCGATACAAATGGAACAACACCCCTACACATAGCCTGCAGGCGAGGTATGTTTGAAATTGTCAAATTACTGCTTTCCCAGCCCGTTATTCCTATCAATCAAGCTGATAATAGTGGATACACAGCACTTCATTTTGCAGCTATGAACGGATCACTAGAAATAGGCAAGTTCTTATTGAATCTTAATGCTAGTAAAGAAGCGAAAACTTACGATCTGAAAACCCCTTTACATATAGCTTCACTCAATGGGCACGACGAAATAGCGAATATCTTATTGAAAGAAGGAGCTGAACGGGATGCAGCTGATATTGATGGTATGACACCATTACATTTTGCAACAGCAGAAAAACATCCGGACATGGTTATTTTGCTGAATACGTATGGAGCATTCGTGAATAGTAAAAACAAAAATGGGAGTACACCACTTCACCTAGCGTGCGAACGCAGCATGCAATTGGCAGAATCTATACAGTGGTGGATTGTTATAAATCTTCTAGATTTTGGCGCAAACATCGAAGCAACGGACCATAACCTAATGACCCCATTACATATTGCTTCTAAAGATAATTCATCAGAGCTTATATTTGAACTGCTATCACGTGGGGCAGATCCGTCGAGTAGGGATGTATTGCTTAACCAACCTATCCATTACGCTGCATTAAATGGTAATTATGACATAATACTAAAGTTACTTTTGAAGCGAATAGTCGATACGAAAGTTGACATGAGTCAAAGTATATCTGTGAATATCAATCACGAAACCCCTTTGTCCTTAGCTTCGAGAGAAGGGCACACTAAAGTAGTGGCGTTGCTCTTACAAGTTGGAGTCGAGAGTGTTCAGCCTGACATCTATGGAAGGACTGCTTTACACCTCAGCGCCCACAGAGGTCATATAGAAATAGTGAAGCTACTTCGACAAGCCCTTTTAAACGAAGACAAAGAAGATAAGTGGGGATTTACAGCATTAAACTACGCAGCATCCTGGAAAGGCCATCAAGAAGTCATAGGATACCTTTCGACTTCTCAACTAAATATCACAATGTCATATTATTTAAGGAAATCCAACCCATTTCTACATGATTTGAATAACCAGACATTAAGTAAACCAGACATAGAAGTAAAAAAGTTACCTGGTGTAAAATTAGGAATACCTCATTCTTTTGAAGTTAACACAGGAAAGGTCCAGGTCATTTATTCATCTAATAATGATAAGTACTCAAATACATAACCATATTTAAATTAAATAAATCTTAATTTTTTGTTATAATTATTCTTTATTGCTTATTTAACGTAAAATTATACTTCTCCTACACTCTTCTCTAGTTTGATAAGTGGACATAACACTTTAAAGCAAGGTGATAACCTTTCTTCCTTGTGAATAGTTAAGTGGACCTTACATGGTCAATCGGAATTGCACTAATGACGTTCCGAATTGTCGTGTAAGGTAGTGAATGAAGTACTGATGGTGATCCGGAAATCAAAGGTTCATTCACGAGAAGTGGAGGGGGGGCTGAGGTAAAAGTAGTGGGGAGACTAACCATACTGCTGGATAGGTTAGGTTACCTAGGCCTCACAACCATTATAAATTTATGATTTTCATTATATGTAAATAGTTAAATAATTTTTCATATCCCTTGTTTATAATTTTAAACCATCTTCAACTATTTTCGAGATAACGCAAGGCATAGGGTTCGCATCCACACAACCTTACGTTAATTGTAAGACTGTCATTGAATACATGTCTCATTTCGTCGTCTTGAGGCCTCTATGATCGAGAGAGGAGGAGTTTATATTATTTATCGATGGTGATTTTGATCGGTAAGATATGGCTTGCCAATTCTTCACCAAATCTCAAGATTGAGCCAATTTTGAAGGCTTCCTTCTCTTTTAGGCAGGCAAAGTAGTCCAATCATCCCGAAAATTCAGGAAAACAAGTTATGAAAGAAAAGAAACTTTATTTACAAATAAATAAAAAATTACACACTTTTCCCTTGGTTATACCCATGACTATATAAAAGATTTTGAAATTTGAAATTTGTAACCATGTCGGTTCCAAACATTAATGAAGTTTTAAATTAATTTTTATTTCCTTTGTCTATTATATTAATCGATAAAGAAACAATTGATTTCTTTATTTTTTTGATACGTTGCATTATTTTATTTTCTTATTAATTTGGCATTTGATCACTTAACAATATGTTGAGCGAAATTTTCGCACTGGCCTACTAATATATCGTTATTACCATTTTTTTTTTTTTTTTTTTTTAAACCAAGCCCCTCCCTTCAAAATAAAATCCGAATCCGTAACTGGTAGTTACAAACCAAAAATGAATCGTTTTTTAATATAAATTTCGAAACTATATATAACTTTGAATTGTACTTTAAAATTTCTTATTTTTATGATTTCATATCCTTATTTTGTCAAAGATGATCCATAGAAACTTTAAGAATTTAGCTCAGAAAAATTAAATGATCTTTGCCACCAAATCCTCGAGAATTTAAGAAAACTAACCGTTGTCGTACTATAAAAAATTATGACTCACATGAATGGAATTATTTTTTTCAAATCAAATATTTGTTGAATCTGAGTATGAGATGGGGTTCGAGATGACGATTGAGGAAAATATGATCCGATCCAACAATTTCCTTATGGAGGAATCGAAATTAGAAATAATGATTCCTGAATTGCCGGCCTTGAGGTAGAAGTGGACTGACTGGCTATGCTTAGGTGGACTGACCAGCGTGCTCAATCTATTTCGAAGTTTTAACCAGCCAGTATTAGCTTGCTTCTTGTCATGTCGTTTATGCTGGTCTGTATCTTCCTCTTCTCTTTCCGCCACTCAGTTCTCTCTGTAAGTATATATCTATCCATTGCCATCCTATACAGGGTATCCCGTAAATAGTGGAAAATAGAAAAAAAAATGATAATTGTGGGTAAATGGTTGACTATCGTGAATAATGAAGAGAAGAATACTTGGGGTGATCAGTGAAATAAGAAGGCAAAGATAAAATATAATATTTATTTTGACATTTGCGGATGTTTCGACCTGAAGTTTAGGGCTAAGAAAAGAACCAGATAACAAGGTATGAGAAACATGAATAATGTAGATAAAAAAAAAAAAATTAAAGTAAAATGAAGTTGGTAGAATAATGACAATAGTAAGAACTAAGAGATAAATAATAATAACCGTTACAAAGTGTGGAATGATGAAGTAAACATAATCAAAAAAGGTGACATAAGTATTAAAATGGGAATCTTAGAATAAAATGTAAAACAGAAAAAAGGAATATGAAGTTATATAAGAAATGAAAATAAAGAGTAAAATTAAGATATTGCAAATAGAATAGTTAGATAGAAAATTGAGATATTGTAAAGTCTATTAAAATGTACAGACAACATATAATATAATAAAGAGTTAAAACAGATAAAAAGAATGAAATATCAAAATAAATATTATCATTTATTTTTGCCTTCTTATTTGACTGATCACCCCAACTATCGTTCACTTCATTAAAAAAATTATAGTAGGCATCAAGATCTACGAAAAAACGTCCATATAAATAATTTCTCAATTTTCAACAGAAAAATAGGAAATTTAAATTTTGTTTTTTTAAGCATCGCGGTTTTTGTTGAATAGGAAGCAGTAACATAAAAAATATTTGATTTAAATAACTAAACATTGCTCCATAATAAACTAAAATTTACATTTAATGAAACTATTTAAAGAGGATTATTGGGCAGACAAACACAGCTAAGTTGCGTTTAAAAAAAGTCATAAATTATTTGTGATTTTTTTTATGACTCTTCAGTTACCATAGTTACTCCACTTTTACAAAAACTTCTCCGTTTAATTTTGAGATTCACCTCAGGATATGTATAGAAATGGTGTGATTTCCTATCCAGTCACCTAAAAGTATCCATGTTTTAAGCAAAAATGACTACAATTAACTGTTGCAAAGCTTTTATGTATTATTTTTCCGTTTCTGAGTCGTATTATACTCCTTCTACTCCTCTGTAAAAAATTTAGGACTATTTATTGATCAAACCCTCTCCTGGAGTCACCATATTTCTCACATCTCCCGACGGACAGTTTCTACCCTCAAACTATTCCATTGCTTCCGCCATCTCCTACCTCAACATACGCGCAGACTCCTCGTTTCTTCTCTCATCTTCCCCCACTTTGACTACTGCTGTGTGATGTATGATGGACTCTCGGTGGAGCTCCGCGACAGACTGAAAAGAATAATGAACAGCTGTGTGAGATTTGTAATTGGTGCCCCGAGATACTACCATGTCTCTCACCATTACACTGAGTTAGAGTGGCTCTTCCCCTCCATTCGAAGACAATATTTCCTAGGTACATTCCTCTATCATATCATCAACAATCATCGTCCTTCCTACGCCTACAATCTTCTCCAATTCAAATCCTCAATCCACTCCCTCTCCACAAGATCTCGACCTTCCGACCTTTACATTCCTTCTCACAGTCAGGCACCAGCTAATCTTTTATGTAAAATTACACATTATCTATAAGACCATATTCACATATAGCTCATGACCTGAATACTTATTATAGATTCGACTTTCTTTTTCTCTTTTTTTTTTTTTTTTTTTTCAACAGAAACAGATTTTACTGTTAAGAAGAATATACATTTATTTTTTCTAAAAGGGTTTATTTATATTTTAACATTGTACATAGTTTTAAGTATCTTAGTATGGTTTCAAGAGTTTTTTATATAGATTTTTTCATTTTATTTTGTATATAGTATGTATCACCAATATTTTTTTCTTTTCTTTTCTTTAATGACCTATCATTATCTTAATTTGTTATGTTTGTTTTTATCTGGCCAGATGTAAAATTTTAATTTCTGTACTTTTTTGTTATTCTGAAGGGACTTCGTCCCAGAATAAAATTATTTTTCTATTCTATTCTATTCTATTCTATTATAATAAACACAATTATCTAAAAACACATTTTATTTATAAAAATGAAACATTTATAAATGATGATATGTCACGTTAAGTCTTAATGAAATTTTAAACACTTTTAAATACGCATCAATTCCTATAACAGAAATCTGGGAGAAAACCACAATTTCATAATCACCTTACATGAAAAATATTTAAAAAATCATTATTTTTAAATTTTTTTATTTTTAAAAATAACATGTTGCTTATTAAATACAAATAATAAAAATAAGAATCGGAATGCAGTTGAAGTTTTCGTCCTTAGCTGTATTATACAATAATTCATATATTTTTTAATTAATAGTTCGCAGATGCTATTAATGCATGATGTTAATTGAATGCAGGTCTTCATTTTTAAGTATTACTTAGGCATTGATTGGATCTGCTTAGAAGATTATTTTCTCCCCATATTTCAAACAATATAATTTCAAGATATTTTACTGACATTATATTTTGATTTTTGATCTGTGAATTGGCGTAGGTCCATACATTCAAAATTTTAATGTTGGTTCTGTATCCATTTTTGCCAATGCAAAGCTCTCCTCTCAAAGGAATATCTGCTATATAATTATTAACTCCTCTCCAGAGACCAGATTTGAATTTTATCAAACATTTATGAGCTTATAACTATTCACAACTTGAGAATCAAAACATAGCATCAGTCAAATATCTTAAAACTGAATCGTTTGAAAAACTGGGAAAACTATCCATCCAATCGACTTTAAAGTTGATCAAATCAATGCCTGAATGCTACTCAAAAACAAAGTATTACATTCAAAATATTAATTTAAACATTTTTGAGTAAAATAAATTAATTAATTACTGTACAATATAGCTATATATGAAAACTTTTATTGCATCTGAATATTTATTTTATACTTTAATTTGTAATAAATATATATGTATTTATTGTTGGGCAACTATTTTTGGGAAAATTAATAAGAGTAGTATTGAAGTTACAACTACTTGTTTCAAACAATATGTAGAAAAGTTTGTTGTTGTTGTTGATTGTTTTAACTTCTATTGGTCCATGTATGAAAATTTTGCATGGTATTTAATTGGGCTGGAAAATAAGTCATTTCGGTTTTTCTGTTTATTTTTATGTTACTATGATACACTTCTTGTCTGATGAATTAATCCCTAAGGTGGATTGTTTATCCTGTTTGTAATATGTCAACACCTCTTGTTGAAACTAGGTTAGTATTGTGTTTGCTATTGCACTGTGAATATGGAAGAAAATATCATTCATTATCGGCATATTTTGTTGTATTATTTTAAAAAAGGTAAGCGTGCTGCAGAAGCTCATAGAAAAATTTGCAGTGTTTATGAGGATGATGCCTTAACCGAACGCATCTGTCAAAATTGGTTTGCCAAATTTCATCCAGGAAATTTTGACATTAATGATGTTCAACGGTCTGTTCGCCGACATGAAATTGAATCGAGTAATGTTAAGGTCATTCTTGATCAAAATCCCATCCAATCAGTACCAGAGATTGCAATGGCCTTAAATGTGTTGCACACAAGTGTAGACCATTTGTACAAGCTCGGCTGTGATTCGAAGCTTAATGTTTGGTTCCCTCACATTATTTTTTTCGAAAATCACAAAAATATGTTATAACTTCGATAGACTTAAACTTGAGCAGGGATTTAGGGCCACATAAAAAATGACATCAAGAGGATCTTCGTAAACAAACTACATCATAGAACTACGTCTAGAACTTACTACTAGAACTGGTTACTTCGTAAACAGAACAAAACTATTTGAGCTGGAATATAAAAATATTTGTAAAAATCACACATAAACTGGTAGTGGGGAAGCAAAAGGTCAAGATGGACAGAAATAGATTGAGTATGACAATTTTTGATATAGTGCTAGAAATTAAGAATACAAAGGATTATTCAGAACAGATAAAGAACGAAATAGCCAAAATGAGTATAAAAAGCGAGGTTTGTATAGTTAAAACCTAATTCCGGAAACATATTGACCAAATAAAGGTCCTTGCTGTGAAAAAGTTAAATGCAAGGAAATAGTGGCCGGAGAAAAGGAAGGCACATCACTTTGCGAGGATGAAGGTGATGTGTTGTAGGAAAAAGAAGCGACAAAAAAAGTAAAAAAGTGGCAATAAATCTACTGCAGAAAAAGAAAACAAAAGGGAGGATATCAAAATAGTATTACCTCTACATTCAAAGCAGAACAGGACGTTTTCGCGTGAGGAATTGTGACATCCATTTTTTTTATTTTTTCGGTTACTCGTGCCATTTATAGCATATGGATGAAGGAGGGAGAGGGATGGTTGCCCCATTAATGACAAGGTAGGATTATAAAGGTAGGATAGGAACGAAAAAATTGGATTTCACAATTCCTCACTGGAAATGGGGAGTTTCGCACCAAGCCTCATGTCTTAGAGAAAGACATTAACTCCCTTTGTCACGACCTGCACCTCTTATGACACAATAAGGGCAACACTATTGAGGAAAACTGGATTCTATATGATAAACAGAAGACAATTTTCCTCCGCTAGTAGGCAATAGTGGGTCCAGCATTTAATTTTTTTTTGGAGGGGGGAGGGGGAGCTTCAGTCCAACAGGTTTTTTCATATACGTAACGATAATTACTTTGGAAAAACTATATAAACTAACTGCCTATATGAGATGGTGTTTAAGCGATACTTGAAGTCCTATTAAATGTGATTACATGAACAATAATATTTTAAGAGATAATCTCTTTTTTCCATAAAACCGGGTTACATTTTACCATTTTGGGGGAGACGGGCCTCAGAACGAAAGCATCCCTCCTCATAGATCGGCCTGTGCTAAAAGGTAAGGACACCTATTAGTAATACGAAGCATTCGTGTAATGCTGGCAGGAATCACCGGTAGTTGAAATGAAATGAAATGAAATGAAAATATTTTTTTATTATCCTGGGACTATTGTCCCTTTAGGACAAATTACAGATACAGAATAAATGCCTGTGTGGACATACATAAAATTAATTATTTACATTTATTATTAAGATTATGATTTTGAAAAAATAATAAAACAAAAAATATAACTATTACACTAAAAGCATTCTGATATGTATAATACAAACTATATAATAAAATAAAATAGCATAAGTAAAGAAAATCATTTCTGGGGGAACTTTAAAAGTTCTCTTATCTACATTTCATGATCAATCGGGTTGGGAAAGGAGTAGGTGGTTAAAAAGGAGAGATTTAAATGAGGAAACTGATTGTGCATGTCGGATATCGGGAGGGATGGTATTCCAGAAGGAGACGGCTTGAATTATAAAGGATTTGTTCAAACGCCGCAGTTCGGTGGGGAGGTGGATAGAGGTCGGAGGTATGAGATCTAGTGAGACGGGATTTAATGGAATATTTGAATTGTAGGTTGTGAAAAATATAGGAAGGCCGCTGAGTAGTTAATCATTTTATTTTATTTTAGGGAAAAGCAATACGAGAACATGATTGAAATACGAAGAATAAATATTAAATGGTAGAAGTGGCAGGTAATTCTTCTAACAAAAATCCATATTGCCGAGAAGCCGGGGAGGATGACATTAAAAAAATTAAAGTTTTGGTTTGACAAGGCTGTCTCTTTTCTCAACATTCGCATTTTTTGATAACAGCAACTTTAAGATATTTTCGATTCCCTTCTCAGCAGCGATATGTTAAGGTGTCAAACCTTCTTTTCCTTTAGAATCAATATCTTTGGTAAGGTCAAAAACAGATTTAAATACATTGAAATTTCCACTTAACGTTGCTTTATGAATTGGAATGTCATTTGTATCATCTTTTATCTCAACACTTGCGTTCTTGGACAACAGCAAATTCACAATAAATTCGTTACCCTTCTCAGCTGCTATATGTAAAGGTGTAAGACCATCAGATCCTATAATATTAACATCTACAGCAAGGTATAGAAGATTTTTAAAAACATTAAGATTTCCACTGGATGCTGCCATATGTATTGGAATGTCATCTTGATTTTAATAAAAATGAGTTTCGAAATTTGAATCGAATAAAGATAAACCAATGATAATTATTTAACTAGTAGGTTACTTATAGATTTCCATCAGCTAGTGCAGATTTAATGTTGGTATCCTTTTTTTTCAGATGAAGAGCAATTTAAAGGAAGAATTGGATTCTGAACCACCCACTTTGGACTATGACGTCATCGATTACAGTCCGGATATAGAATTAACAGACACTCCACTGCACTTTGAAGTAAGAAATGGGAACCTCGAGGAGATTACCGCACTTCTTGATAGTGGCATTGATGTTAACGTGAGAGGAAAAGGGGGTTTTGCACCTTTGCACATCGCTGCTGAAGAAGGCTACGAATCTCTCGTAAATTTGTTGTTGTCAAAAAATGCGAGTGTCGAAATAAAAAACGATGGCGATGACACGCCAGTACATGTGGCAGCATACGGTGGAAACCTCAATGTGCTTATTATACTTCTTGATTACATCTGGGATATTAATATTAAAGGATCTTATGGTCTTACACTACTACACATGGCTGCTGAAAAGGGATATGAAAATATTGTAAGTTTGCTGTTGTCCAAAAATGCTAGTGTTAGCATTAGAGACGACACCAACGACACTCCAATACATAAGGCAGCATTCGGTGGGTATTTAAAGGTACTTAATACACTTCTCGATTACACCTCTGATGTAAATATTAAAGGAGCTTATGGTCTTACACCTTTACACATCGCTGCTAAAGAAGGCTACGAATCTCTCGTAAATTTGTTGTTGTCAAAAAATGCCAGTGTCGAAATCAGAAATAATAACAATGAAACGCCAATACACGTGGCAGTATACAGTGAGAATCTCAATGTACTAAATACTCTTCTGAAATACGCTTCTGATGTCGATATTAAAGGACCTTATGGTTTAACACCTTTACATATCGCTGCTTCAAAGGGCTACGAATCTACCGTTAATTTGCTAATATCCAAAAATGCTAGTGTGAACATTAAAGACGACAAGAATGACACTCCAATACATAAGGCAGCAATGACTGGGAATTTCAATATATTTAAAACTCTTCTTGATCACGCCTCTGATGTTAATATTAAAGGATCTGATGGTCTTACACCTTTGCATATCGCTGTAGGAGAAGGCTATGAATCTCTTGTGACTTTGCTATTGTCAAAGGAAGCAAGTGTCGAAACCAGAAATGATGTCAATGACACGCCAATACATGTGGCAGCATTGACTGGGAATTTTAATGTTCTTAAAGCACTTCTCAATTACTCCTTAAATATCAATATTAAAGGATTGAATGAACTCACACCTTTACATATCGCTGCTGAAAATGGATACTACTCTATCGTGAAACTTCTGTTGTCCAAAAATGCAAGTGTGAACATAAGAGATGATACCAATGACACTCCAATCCATAAGGCAGCATTAAGTGGGAATCTCGAGATGTTCAATATTCTTCTCGACCTAGCCAAAGATGTTAATATCAAAGGATCTAATGGACTGACATTTTTACATATCGCTGCAGAGAAAGGGTACGAATCTATTGTGAACTTACTGCTGTCCAAAAATGCTAGTGTTAACATCAAGGACGACTCCAATGACACTCCATTACATAAGGCAGCACTCAGTGGGAATTTCAATGTGTTCAAAACCCTTCTTGAATTCACCTCGGATGTTAATATTAAAGGATCTGATGGTCGTACACCTTTACATATAGCTGCTAGAGAGGGCTACCAATCTATCGTAAATTTGCTGCTTTCTAAAAATGCAAACGTCGAAATCAGAGATGATGCCAATGACACACCTATACATGCAGCAACCTTGAGTGGGAATTTCATTGTGTTTAAAAGTATTCTAGATCACACATTGGATGTTAATGTTAAAGGATCTGATGGTCTTACATCTTTACATATCGCTGCTAAAAATGGAAGCGAATCTATCGTCAATTTATTGATGTCCAAAAATGCAAGTGTTGGCATTAGTGACGATAACGATGACACTCCAATACATATGGCAGCATCCAGTGGAAATCTTAATGTTTTTAATAATCTTCTATACCTTGCTGTAGATGTTAATATTATAGGGTCTGATGGTCTTACACCTTTACATATAGCAGCTGAGAAGGGTCACGAATTTATTGTGAATTTGCTGTTGTCCAAGAACGCAAGTGTTGAGATAAAAGATGATACAAATGACATTCCAATTCATAAAGCAACGTTAAGTGGAAATTTCAATGTGTTCAAAACTGTTCTTGATTACACCTCGGATGTTAATATTAAAGGATCTGGCGGTCTAACACCTTTACATATTGCTGCTTATATGGGTTATGAATCTATTGTTAATTTATTATTGTCTCAAAATGCAAGTTTAAATATAAGAGACGATACAAATGATACTGTAATACATAAGGCAGCGTTCAGCTGGAATATCAACGTATTTAAAAGTCTTCTTGATTACACTTCTGACGTTAATATTAAAGGTTCTGACGGCCTTACACCTTTACATATCGCTGCTGAAATGGGCTTGGAATCTATTGTGGATCAATTGCTATTAAAAAATGCAAGTATAAACATAAGAGATCGTATTGGTGCCATTCCGATCCATAAGGCAGCATCCAACGGAAATCTTTATGTGTTTAATAAACTTCTCAACTTTGCTATGGATGTTAATATTAAAGGACCTGATGGTCTTTCACCTCTACATATTGCGACTGAGAAGGGCTACAAATCTATCGTGAATTTGCTTTTGTCAAAAAATGCAAGTGTTGACGTAAGAGACGATACCAATGACACTCCAATTCATAAGGCAGTATTAAATCGAAATTTCAATATAATTAATAGTCTCATCGACCTTGCTAAGGATGTTAATATTAAAGGATACAAAGGTCTCACATTTTTACACATCGCAGCAGAAATGGGTGACGAACTTGTCGTGAATTTTTTGTTGACCAAAAATGCAAACGTTGACATAAGAGACGATACCAATGACACTCCATTACATAAGGCAGCATTCAGTGGAATTTTTGATGTGTTCAATATTTTTCTAGACCTTGCTACGGATGTTAATATTATAGGATATAATGGTCTTACACCTTTACATATATCATGTGAGAAGGGTAACGAATTTATTGTGAATTTGCTGTTGTCCAAGAACGCAAGTGTTGAGATAAAAGATGATACAAATGACATTCCAATTCATAAAGCAACGTTAAGTAGAAATTTCAATGTATTTAAATCTGTTTTTGACCTTACAAAAGATATTTATTCTAAAGGAAAAGAAGGTTTGACACCTTTACATATCGCTGCTGAGAAGGGAATCGAAAATATCGTAAATTTGCTGCTGTCCAAAAATGCGAGTGTAAACATAAAAGACGATACTAATGACACTCCATTACATAAGGCAGCATTAAGTGGGAATGTTGTCGTATTTAAACTTATTTTCAACCTTACTACAGATATTGATGTTAAAGGAAAAGGAGGTTTTACACCTTTACATATCGCTGCAGAGAAGGGTAAAGAAACTATCGTAAATTTGCTGCTGTCCAGAAATGCGAGTGTAAACATAAAAGACGATACTAATGACACTCCATTACATAAGGCAGCATTCAGTGGGAATTTCAATGTGTTCAAAACTGTTCTTGATTTCACCTCGGATGTTAATATTAAAGGATCTGGCGGTCTAACACCTTTACATATTGCTGCTTATATGGGTTATGAATCTATTGTGAATTTATTATTGTCTCAAAATGCAAGTGTAAATATAAGAGACGATACAAATGATACTGCAATACATAAAGCAGCATCCAGTGGAGATCCCAATGTTTTTAATAATGTTGTCGACCTTGTTAAAGATATTAATATTAAAGGATCCGATGGTCTAACACCATTACATATAGCTGCTCAGAAGGGCTACGAATCTATCGTGAATTTGTTGTTATCCATCAGTAATGTAAGTTTGACCATCAGAGATAATGATGACAATACTCCATTACATGAGGCAGCACTCGGTGGAAATATTAAGGTGTTTAAAATTCTTCTCGCCCACGCCCCCGATGTTAACATTAAAGGATTCGTTGGTCGTACGCCCTTATATTTGGCTGCCTCTTCTGGGCACAAAAAAATTGTTGATCTTCTCTTGTCCAAAAATGCAAGTGTAAATATAAGAGACGATATCAAAGACATTCCAATACATTATGCACTGCAAATGGGGTTTCTCAATATTGTTAAAAAACTGATCGATCACACAGACAATGTTAATGTTAAAGGATATAATGGTATTACACCTCTGCATATCGCTGCTATGTCAGGCTATGAATCTATCTTGTATTTATTGTTATCCAAAAATGCTAGTGTAGACGGTAGAGATGACAGCAATGATACTCCAATTCATTATGCGCTACAAAATGGGAAGCTAAATATCGTTAAGATACTCCTCAATCATGGCGCTGATATCAATATAAAAGGACGAAAAGGTATGACACCGCTACACATTGCTGTTGATAAGGGCTACGAGACTATCGTAAATTTACTACTTTCCAACAATGCTAAAGTGGATATAAAGAATGATATGGGTATAACACCCTTGCATTTGGCAACGATTCAAAAGAACATCAACATTATCAAAATTCTCCTTGACAACGGGGCAAAAGTGAATATCCAAGGAAATACAGGAATGACACCTTTAATGGTCGCTGCTTCTAACGGAGATATAGCTATTGTCAACTTACTTATTTTGAAAAATGCTTCGTTAGATATAAGAGATAATGTCGGTAATGCTGCATTAAACTACGCGGCTCTAAGTGGAAACAATAAAGTGATTAGGATGCTTCTTGATCATGGTGCTGACGTAAATAATAATGGAGAAAATGGCAAAACACCTCTCCATTTTGTGCTTCGAAAGGATGATCAAAATTGCTCGAAACAAATTTAGTATTTGCAACGTTATCTACTCAAGAATTAGAAGATTATTACAATAGTACTGTAACAACTGACATTGAATCTGAAATAATAAATGCAATGAAGACGCTAGTAGAACATAGGGCTGATTTAAATTCACAAAATCTCATCAATAAAACTGTGCTGCATGAAGCTGCTGCTATAGGTTATGCTCGCGTCGTTGAATACCTGCTATCCCAAAACGCCAGTTTCAATATCGAAGATTATCTTTGTCTAACTCCTCTCCAATGGGCAGCTAACAATGGAAATGTAGATGTGATAAAGATCTTGTTGGCATATGGAGATGACGTCAATAGAAAAGGATGCAATAATGTCACAGCATTACACTTAGCAGTAAGAAAAAACGACATTAGTTTTATTAAATTTCTTTTATCGAAAAATGCTGATCCAAACATGATGAGTGAAGACGGACGAACGCCTTTAGATTTAGCTTTTAATCCTTTGTCTGAAGAAGTCATGAAATTACTTCTTGTTCATGGAGCGAAACTGGAAGATAACAGTTTCTTAGGATCAAAAATTCTTTTTGATGCAGTTTCAGAGAAATCATGAGACATATTAAGACTTCTTTTGGATAAAGTAGAACATTTAGAATCTTACCCGACAGATGTTCTTAACCATGCCATCAGCACGCGGTTTTCGGAAGGATTCGATCTGCTCATCTCTCACGGAGCAAACATCGAGCAGAAAGATATCCATGGCTATCGTCCTCTTACTTTAACAAATATGTCAAGAAGTATTGGGTTCGTCAAATTAATTTTAGAAACAGGATTGAAAAAAATCGCTAAGATGAATTTTCAAACTTTTTTTAACGCAAATTGTGACGTAAAACTTCTTACGCCCAAGAAGGTGATAGAGCTCCGTAATGTGGCAGCATTGCACATCGCAGCCTTCTACGGCCTCACGGAAATAGTCGGATTGTTGATAGCATACGGTGTTTCATTAGACGTTAGAGATAAACGGGGTTATTCACCACTCCACTACGCCTGTGAGAATGATCATGCCGAAGTTGTGAAATTACTTTTGGATTCTGGATGTAATAAGACTTCGGCAGATATCAATGGAACAACACCCCTACATATCGCCTGCAGTCGAGGTCTGTTTGGAATTGTTGAATCACTACTTTCTCAGCTCCCTGCTGTTATTAATCGAGCTGACAATAGTGGATACACAGAACTTCATTTCGCTGCTATGAATGGATCTCTAGAAATATCCAAATTATTATTGAATTTTGGTGCTGATAAAGAAGTGAAAACTAGTGATCTGAAAACCCCTCTGCATATAGCTTCACTCATGGGACACTACGAAGTAGCGAACATTTTATTGAAGGAGGGGGCCGAAAAAGATGCATCTGACAGTGACGGTATGACACCATTACATTTCGCAGCACGAGAAAGATACCCGCGGATAGTGGATTTGATGCATACGTCGGGAGCGTTTCTAAATAGTAGAAACAAAAATGGCACTACACCGCTTCATCTCGCCTGCGAGTGGAGCACCAAATTCACTGAATTCGAACAATCGGTGATTGTTGATCAGCTGGTGCATTTTGGCGCTAACGTTGATGCAACAGATCATAACCAAATGACACCATTACATATTGCATCTAGAGACAATTCTTCCAGTATTATAAATGATCTCCTAAGGTGTGATGCTGACCTATCAAGTAGGGATGTGTGGCTTAAACAACCTATCCATTACGCTGCATTAAATGGTAATTATGACATAATACTAAAGTTACTTTAGAAGCGAATAGTCGATACGAAAATTGACATGAGTCAAAGTATATCTGTAAATATCAATCACGAAACCCCTTTGTCCTTAGCTTCGAGAGAAGGGCACACTAAAGTAGTGGCGTTGCTTTTACAAGTTGGAGTCGAGAGTGTTCAGCCTGACATCTATGGAAGGACTGCTTTACACCTCAGCGGCGGCAGAGGTCACATAGAAATAGTGAAGCTACTTAGAAAAGCACTTTTAAATAAAGAAAAGAAAGATAAATGGGGCTTCACAGCATTAAACTATGCTGCTTCTTGGAAAGGGCATCAAGAAGTTATAAAATACCTTTCGACTACTCAACTAAATATTACATTATCTTATTATTTAAAGAAATCAAACCCTTTTCAATATAGTTTGGAGAAACAGACCTTAATACAGGTAAAAAAGTTACCTAGTGTAAAATTGGGTATACCATATTCTTTTAAAATTAACACAGGAAATGTCCAGTACGTGTATTCCCTTAGAAATAAATGAAAATAAAATACTATATTATATGTAAATTAAATAAATTTTAGATTAAATTGTATTATAATTCTTTATAATTATGTCTTATCCCTTATGCCTCCTAACAGTCACGTACATCAACTACTGCTGGTCCTAACTAAGGAAAATCGGTTATCACCTGCACAAAAACAGTAGAGAAATTCCTAACATCACCCTTTCTAATTACTCTGCCTCCTAAAGCAATTCATCCTTCCGAAGTCAAATTCCCTTTTAAAAGCTAACGCTTTGTAAATCTCCTGGATATAATCTCTTTACCCCCCATATCCTTCGACAACTTCCATCCAGAGCAGTCATATTCCTCTCATACATCTACAATTACATCCTAAGTACCACTCACTTTCCCCTGTCATGGAAATATTCCACTGCTGCCTTTTTCCAAAACCAAACAAACATGACATTCTATTGACCAATTAGCCTATTCCAAATTATTTCAAAAATCTTTGAAAAGATCATTTTGAAACGAATTCTACCCACTATTTCCTGGCATCATCACGGATCCTACCATCCTTCGTCTTTCAAGTCATCCAATCCCACCGTCCTTCATACATCGCTAAGCTCCTTCAATTCAAATCCTCTGTTCGTTCCCGCAATACACCTTCCCGATCTTTCGATTTATACATAAGGGTCCACCGAACCGTTACTACATGCCTTTCTACAGATCTTTCATTATCCCTTTGGAAATCCATCCCTTCACACATTCGTCAATCTAATACCCTTCTTGCCTTTAAGTCCCGCCTGTTTAATCATTTCTTAACCATCCAGTCCCCATGAAATTATAAATAGATGCTAATGTAAATATTTATATAAATTATTAGTTCGTTCTTCATTATTTTTACTTTATACTTTTTTTTTTCAATTTTTTATTTAACGATACCTTCCTTTCATAACCATCCGAATCCCCTTGTATCTAACCTTGCTTCCTCTTCGATTCCTGATAATCCTCCGAGGCGTCTGAAAAGAAGATGGCCTGTGATCTCCTGATGTAGACAAATTATTAGAGTGGTACCAATGGGTAGTTTCTCAACAAGCGTGTTTCATGTGATTATATTCCTGTGTACACATTTACTTGATGTATTCATTTTAATGAAGTTGTAAATATCATAATAAAAGTTAAAAAAAAAATTATTGACTGATTAAAATAAGAAAGTAACTGTTTAATTACTCAGTATTTTTATTTATGAATCTCTGAGACTCCTTAGCCCATGTTTATGTCTTTGTGTATTTTCTAAAGGGAGTCGTCCCAGAATAAATAAAGTATTATTATTATTACTAATATAAATTCCCAAAATTTTCCTTCCCATCAGTTTCGATTACGCTATCAACAGTCTGCTGTTCAGCAAGGACTCCGTGTTGTTGAACAGATTTCATCAGCCCTAGAAAACATGGAATACCGTTTGGGTGCATTTCTGGACACTGCGCAGGAATTTGAACGAGTATGGCACGACGGTTTGCTCTTCAAGCTTAAAATCCATTTACCTCAGTCCTTGTATCCAGTACTCCGACCCCATCTCTCTAACCGCTCCTTTCGAGTTCGCTGAGAACAGATTTTTCCAATATCTATTGAGTCAAAGCAGGTGTTTCCCAAGATAGCGTCTTGGGTCCCGTACTTTACATCCTCTTTACTGCTGCCATTCCTATTCATACCGATACCTTCCTTGCAACATTCTCTGATGACCACGCAATCTTACTATCCGACTCTGATCCCGAAATAGCATCCTCAAATCTGCAAAGACACCTCTCCTTGATTGAGCACAGGTGTAATAACTGGCGCATTGAAGTGAATGAATCCAAATACCAACATATCGTTCTTTACACTCCGACGCAATTCCTGTCCACCAGTACACTTTAACTAGTACACTTTAACTCCACCCAGCTTCCTTTCTCGGACACAGTCCGATATCTTGCATTTCTTTTAGACCGAAGACTAACATGGAACCCACATACTAGCATTAAAAGACAAGAACTCAACGACGATACGGCTAACTATACAGACTACTCAACAGAAAATTTAAACTTTCTATTGAAAACAAATTACTTATCTACAAGACAATCCTAAAACCTATGTAGACATACGGACTGTAACTGTAGGGGACAGCAAATTTTTCTAACATCGAACGCATTCGATCATTTCAATCTCAAGTCCTCCGAACAATAGTTGATGCTCCATTTTATGTCGCCAACAAAACCCTACACCATGATCTTAATATCCCATTTTCCTAGACCTTATCCCCGAAAAATTCTCCAAATTTCACCAGAACCTTACTTATCCTTGCACAAACCCTATGCAGCACCACCCATCCCTACAATCCTTCTCGAAGGTTGAAACGGCAGTAGCCCATAGACCTTTTGAGAATAACTATATATGTAACGTATAAATGGGCGTTCTGGCAATGGCCAGATTCTCCACTCAAGCCATGTCTGTGTGATTGTAGCGACTCTGCTCAGCCTCTACTAGTTTTTAATACCAGTAGTTCGACTGAATGAGGGGCTCTGAGATCTCCTAGAGTCCTGCCTTTCCTTCCACGAGTGGGGAGAAAGTGAGATCTCGGAGATCTTGAGTGAATACATTTTTTTTAGATATTGTACAGAAGCATGTATGTATTTGGGTAGTTGTTTTCATTAGCTTAGTTTCTTTTAGTTTAGTTTAGTTAATATACATTTATTTTTAGTATTATTACTTTTCCTTGTGAATGTGTTCATTGAACACAATTATAAATGTCCTTAATTGAGAAAGAATGAAATATCTCTCAATAAATATGTTTAAATAAAATGAGAACTCGTTATTATAAATTAACATTTCTAAAAACTAAAAAAAAAAAAGATAGGTTACAATAACTTCATTTATTTGTACAAAAACTTAAATATTAGGATAACAAACATTTAGTTGGCTACTTAATATAATAAGGACCAATTGCCATAATAGAGATATATGTAAAAAAATAATGTTCAATATCAACTTAGATAATAAATATTTGATAAAAGAGTACTTAAAAAAAAATCTTATGAATAAGGAGTATATTTCCATAATTAATTTATTACATCTGTCTTCTGGATAATAATTATAGTGTTAAATGAACATATTCACATCATATATACAAAAAATATAAAATTAACAAAAGTAAAATAATAACTAAATAATAATAAATAAAAACTATGTACAATAAAAAAAATAAAATAACCTAAATATAAGTAAATTAAAAACATAAAAACACAGTCATACCTACAATATATACAATCAGGCAGGGAACCCAAATCCCTGCGCTACTCCCTCAACCGCCTCACTGGTGCTAAAGCCGATGGAGTTTGAGCGAGAGCGCTTTAGCCACATACACTCACGTCTTGAGTGGAGAATCTGGCCATTGCCAGAACTCCGAGATATATACTATAAAATATCTCTGGGCCACTGCCGCTTCAACCTTCGAGGAGGCTTGTAGGGATCAGTGGAACTAGATAGGAATTGGGCTAGGGGATTTGGATGATTGATAAGGTTCTGATGGAATTTGGACAATTTTTCAGGGATAAGGTCAATGACAAATGGGATATTAAGGTCATGATGTAGAGTTTTGTTAGTTACATAGAACGGAGCATCGACTATTGTTCCGAGGACTTTGGACTGAAAGGATTGGATGCGTTTGAGATAAGAAAATTTTCCTGTCCCCCAAAGTCCAAGTCCGTAGGTCCAAATACTTCCGAAAAAAAATATATAAAATCTGAATAATTTCTTAAATAGAAATAAAAAATATATTTAAAAACCAGAGGAGTTGGTCGGGAGGGGGAAGGGGGTGCGGTCAAATAAATATAAATTTTTTAAAAAATATTATTCTTAATTGTTTTGCCAGTATTTCGACCCACCTTGCAGGTCTTCAAGAGGACTACAAAAGATACAAAATATAACAGGTACATGGTGAAAATAAAATGAATGAATTATAAGTAGATATTAAATAAGATACAATTGGCTGATAAAGATATAATAAGATGGCATCAGATATATAGTGGGTGACAGTGTAGTTAAAATATCAAGTATTATGTATAGATAGATAGATAGATAGAAAATAACTTTATTCTAGGACACAGTCCCTTGAGAATAAAAAAATATAACAAAGTTAAAAGATTACATCTGGCCAAAATAAAATCAATCGAAAAAAAAAATAATGTAAAGAAAATATAAGGTAAACATTCTATATATAAAACAAACGAAACTATATACAAAACAATTAACACTATGACAAGACACTTAAAGCTATTTGCACTGATAGACCAGTATACACTTTTAAGAAAACAATAAAGAATTAAAAAATAAAAATATATCAAATTCTTTATTAAAATCAGCTTTGTTTTCCTGTTGAGAAAACAGAAAGCTGAATCTGACAATATAAAGTGCCTGATTAATATTTAAATACATTACCATTTAGCATTGATATTTGATAATGAATGGCATGAAATGTTTTGAATGTGGAAATGGATGGGGAATGTCGAATTTTGATAGGGAGGGAATTCCAGAAATTGACAGAGCCAGCAATAAAGGAGTTTTGGAATGAGGCAGATTTGTGAGAAAGCGTGTAAAGGTTAGAAGGTCGAGATCTTGTGGACAGGGAATGGACTGAGGATTTGAACTGGAGAAGGCTGTGGGGGTAGGAAGGACGATGGTTGTTGATGATTTGTTGATGGTATATACATAAGATACAAACAAAAATAGAAAATAATTATGAATAAAAATAGAAAACAAAGGAGAATACAGTATGTAAGTTAAAAGTAAACAGATTGTGATAAAAGATAAGAAATGAGTGTATAACAAATTGGTAAAGATTGCATTTGATTACAGTAGGTTAACAGATCAAGAAAATGAGTGTTGACGAATAAAGAAATTGAAAAATGAATAAGTAATGGTCTAGTAAAGCTAAAATAAGAATAAGAAAACATAATAATAAGATATCTGTGGATAACAAGCTAGTGGAGGTTACACTTGATAAATGTAGGTAAACATATAAGAAGACTAAAGGTTAACAAATAGAAAAATTAATAAGATAACATGAGTTGTAATATCGATAGGATAGATTTATTAAATATATATAACTCTATAAGAAAAAATTTTTAGATATTTTTAATGTAATATAGAGAATAAAATGTAAGATAATGTAAGTATAAATGTAAACAAGGTTATGATAAAGGCGAAACAATTAAAAATACTATTTTTTTAAAAATTTAGTATTTATTTGACAGTACTCCCCCGACCAACTTCTCATATTATACCACGGTCAACCATCTCTACATCATATTAAAAAATCAAATATATTTACGTTTCACGATATGATGTATTGAAGATCAGTAAGTGTCGCACGTACTTTCCACTATACTCCATATGAGTTGTGGATTCTGTGATGTAGAACGTGTACTAGTCAATAAATGTACTCCAATGAGTGCCAGGAAATAACCCATTAATAAAATAAATAGCACTTGTCTGTAAGATGGAAGCAAAGAACCAGTTGATTACTCTTTAGGCCTTATCATAATTAATAAAAATGTAAACTTTTTAGAGGAAAAGGACGATTTTATGGAACATCAATTAAGAGGAATGGAATTTTATGAAATTTTAATCAGACAATAGTAAATTACCATTACAAAATTACTTTGATCAGATTTATTAAAAGCCCCTCTCCCTCCACAACAAACTGGCTGCTGGGCCTAACTAGGAAAGAAATCCGACTCATCGTCGGAGTACTAACAGGCCACTGCAGACTTAAAAGACACTTAAAGATCTGTGGGATAGTGGATGATGAGCTCTGTAATCTCTGCAGAAGTGCACCTGAAACTGCCCTCCACTTCATAACGGAATGTGACCGATTTGCGTCACTCAGATACAGACTCCTGGGAGCAGACAGAATCCAAGATGCAAAGCTGCCTCCATTAAATGGTCCAACCTTTTGAACTTCATTAGAAGAACTAAAAAGGTTAGAGACAGAATACAGGTACAATAGACAACCATTGGTAGTATCAAACTCCGGGATTAGCAAAAACGACCAATAGGCCCACTTGCCGGACTAAGTCCCCCCACCAGTACCAGTACTTTGATCAGATATTAATTAGTTGATTTCAACAATTTGAATGTTTGACTTAAAAGAATAAGGAGATCCCAATTTTATATGATGTATTTTTTTTACATATAGAATAGTTTGTTCTTCCAAATTATATAGAAAAGGATTTGAATTGTTGAAATAATAAGACAATGTAATGTCTAGAAGAGTAGACGAAAGATATCCTATAATTTTTTCATGGCCTTTCCAAGAAGCAGCGTAGTTTAATGCAGTAAAGCCCCACTTATCTTCCTTTTCTTTATTTAAAAGGGCTTGTCGAAGTAGTTTCACTATTATTGGGTGCCATCTACCGGCACTGCGGTGCAAAGCAGTCCTTCCATACATGTCAGGCTGAACACTTTCGACTCCAACCTGTAACAGCAAAGCTACTAGCCTTGTATGCCCTTCTCTTGAAGCTAAGAACAACGGTGTTTCGTGTTTGCTATTCACAGACATCTCTATGTATCCTTTGCGTTCCATCATGTAATCCAGTAACTTAAGTATTATGTCGTAGTGGCCATGAAAAGCAGCATAATGAATAGGTTGGTTGAGCGATGCATCCCTACTCGATAGGTCTGCTCGATAAGAGAATAAAAGTTTATTTACTACTATTATGGAATTGTCCCTCGACGCAATATGTAATGGGGTCATTTGGTTCTTATCCATTGCTTCGATATTAGCGCCAAAATGTACAAGCTTGTCAACAATTTCCAATTGTTCGTATGCAGTGAATTTGGGGCTCCATTCGCAAGCGAGGTGAAGCGGTGTGCTGCCGTTTATGTTTACGCTGTAGGTGGCAGCTCCAGACTGAAGTAACAAGTCAACCACCTTCGGATATCTTCCTCTAATCGCAAAGTGTAATGGTGTCATACCATCAACATCATATGCATCTTTTTCTGCACCCTTCTTCAGTAAGATATCCACTATTTCCCTATGGCCCTCGATTGATGCAAAATGTAGTGGGGTTTTGAGGTCAACAGTCTTAGCTTCTTTATCAGCATCACGATTCAGTAACAATTTGACTATTTCTAGAGATCCGTTCGTAGTTGCAAAATGAAGTGGTGTGTATCGGCTGTTATCTGCTTTATTTACAGCAGCTGGTGGATCGGAAAGTAACAATTCAGCTATTGGAATGAGACCTTGTCTGCAGGCTATGTGAAGGGGAGTAATACCGTTGACATCAGCAGGACTTTTATTGGAACTAGCATTCAAAAGCAATTCCACAATTTTGACATGATCATTCGCACAGGCGTAATGAAGTGGTGTCTTCTGCTGTTTATCTCTAACATCTAATGAAGCGCCGTATGATATCAACAGCTTTACAACATCCTTGAGATCGAGGTAGGAAGCAACGTGCAGTGCTGCTGCTTTTGGGATCTCTAACGCGTTATGGGGTGTACGAAGCTTTACGTCACAATCTGCATCTAAAAAAGTTTGAAAATTAGTCTTACTTAGTTTAATCAAGCCTTTTTCTAAAAGTAATTTGACGAACTCAGTACTATTCGATAAAACTGCTGAAGTTAGAGGACGATTGCAATGATCGTCTTTCTTCACAATGTCTGCTCCGTGAGAGATGAGCAGATCGACTCCTTCTGAAAATCGCGTTCCAATGGCATGGTTAAGAATAACTGTCGGATAGAAGTTTAGATTTTTATTCTTATCCAACAGAAGCTTAACAATTTCAATTGATTTATTTGAAACTGCGTCGAAAAGAACTTTTGATCCTAAGAAACTATAATCTTCCAGTTTCGCTCCATGTCTAAGGAGTAATTTCATAATTTGTTTTGATAAAGGATTAAAAGCTAAATCTAAAGGCGTCCGTCCGTCTTCGCTCATCACGTTTGGATCAGCATTATTAGAAAGAAGAAATTTAATAAAACTAGTCTCATTTCTTCTGATTGCGAGATGCAGAGCTGTAACACCATTACATCCTTTTCTATTTACATCATCCTTTTGTGCTAACAATGCCTTTATAACCTCTACGTTTCCATTATTAGCTGCCCATTGGATTGGGGTGAAGCAAACATAATCTTCGATACTGAAACTTGCATTCTTAGAAAGGAGGTAGGAAACGACTTGAGGATAACCTAAAGCTGCAGCTTCATGCAGCACAGTTTGATCGAGGAGATTTTTCGAATTTAGTTCGGCCCCGTATTTCACGAGAGTCTTCACTGCAGCGACTATTGTATTTTCCATGTCAGTATGATTGCGAGGGCTATATATATTGTGATAATCAATGACTCTGAATGGAAACCCACGTGAATTAATATTCATGGGGCTCATCCGAACTGCGAAATTCAGAGGCGCTTTGCCGTTCTCCCCCTTACTATTCACATCTGCTTTGTGGTCAAGAAGTATTTCAAGTATTTTAATGTTTCCGCTTAATGCTGCATAGTGTATTACAGCATTACCGTTATTGTTTCTTATTTCTAAGGAAGCATTTCTTTTAAGAAGTAACTGTACCATTTCCGTATCATTATTCAAAGCAACGTACATCAAAGGTGTGAGTCCCTCAATACTTTGGATATTGATGTTAGCTCCATGATTAAGAAGAGCATCGATGATATTCATACGTTTCTGAATTATTGCCAAATACAAGGGGGTGATACCTGATAAATCCTTTATATCCAGACTGGCATTTTTGGACAGAAGTAAATTAACAATTGTTTCGTTCTTCTCCTCAACAGCTAGATGAAGAATAGTTTTATTCCTATTTCCTATAATATTAACATCAGTAGCGTGATCGATAAGTATCTCAGCGATATCGAATTTTTTTCTTCGTAATGCACAATGGATTGGAGGGTCACTATCTTTGTTTCTTAAATTTACATTTGCATGTTTTTCCAATAACAAATTCACTAATGATGTATAACCTCTCATAGCTGAAATATGTAAAAGTGTGTTACCGGCAAAACCTTTAATATTAACATCAGGAGCAGAGTCGAGAAGAATTTTGAATATATTAAAATTCTTATAATCCAATGCTTTGTGCATTGGAGTTTCATCGAAATAATCCCTTGCGTTTACATTCGCATTTTTGGACAATAGATAATTCACGATAATTTCAGAGCCCTTTTCGGCAGCCATGTGCAAAGGTGTATGGCCGTTATATCCTTTAATGTTAACATCCGAGGAGTGATTAAGAAGACTTTTGAACACATTAAGATTTCCACTGAGTGCTGCCTTGTGTAACGGAGTGTCGTTGGTATCGTCTCTTACTTCAATACTTGCATTTCTAGATATCAGCAAATTTACGATAGCTTCATTGCCTTTTTCAGCAGCGATATGTAAAGGTGTAAGACCTCCTTTTCCTTTAATGTTAGCATCAGTAAATTTGTCAAGAAGCCTGGTAACCTCGTCAAGTTTACAGTTTCTTATAGCAGAGTGTAGTTGAGTGTCTTTTATTTCAATATTCGGACCAGTTCCCTTCTTATTCACCACCTATAAAACATAATAATTAAATTGAATATTTAATGGTTGACCGTTGCATTATAAAGGAAGGAGATGGTCCGGGGTTGCGGTCATAAAAATGCTAAATAGTGGTAAAACTATTTTATTGTTTTATCTAAAACTACTATTTTACTATTTTATCTAAAACTATTTAAAACTATTTAAAAATAAAATAGTTTTACCACTATTTAGCCTTTTTATGACCGCAACCCCGGACCATCTCCTTCCTTTATAATAATTAAATAAATGTATTTAATGGATCTTCAATTATTTCATGAAAATACTGAAAATGATAAAATTAACCAGCTCAACAGTAGTTTTTGTGGGTAGATATTTGGAGTTGACTACTGCAATGAAAAAAAAGAAGAAAACAAACCCGGTATTTAATAATATTATTAGATGTTTAAAGAAACATACTCTTTTTTCTTATACGATCAAAATTAAAGAATTATTATTTGTATCCCCTCCCCTTCCTTGCCTATTGGGCAATACGGGTGATTGCAGCAGTAGAAAGTTACTGATTAAGTAAAAATCCACTGCTGGAAGTAAATCTTGAAAATTACATATCATGCTGTACACACAGCCTGTGCATTTTATGTGAGAGTTTGGCTATAATACTCTTCTGCCCTTCCTTTATCCAGCGGCCCACCTGGGACACTTCCTCTTAAGATTATTTTTTAATGTTTTTTTTTTTATCTACTTGCATATTTGTATTGTGGATCATGTTTGATATTATTATATGAGATTGATATAATAGTTGAGGGAGGCCTGGGTAGCCAGCAGACTACCTTCCACCAGCTGTACAAACCCAAGGTCAGTAAAACTACCAGGTTCGCTCACTCAGAGGGAAAATGGTGGGGTGGAATTGAGCTCTGACGTAGCCAAGAGACTGATTTTACCTCTCCGGCCTTTGTTTCTGGACATTTTAAGATTATTATTTACTTTTATACATTAAATCAATACTGTGTTGCCAAATAACTTATTAATTTATTAACTTCAATAAATTTGAATGGTGAAAGAAAGGTTGATTTGATATTTGGTTTATTCTGAAGCAAATAAAATGTAATTTAACAAGTTGATGTATGATTTTTTGCAAAGTACCACAATAATACTTTTTAAATATTTCAAATAAATACAGAGCATAACATAAAATAATAGAAATATTGAAAAAAGAAAAAGAAAGAAAAAGTATTTAATCTAACATTAAAGAAGCGTTTTCTTTCCGTGAATTTTTGTAAATATTACATTTTTATGTCATAAGTAGTCTATATCACTACTATGTAGTGATTTTTCTCAAGTTTTTTGGCTTTAATTTTATGTTTTCTTAATTGTATTTAAAAATTTGATTCTATTAAATACCCGTTGCTGAAAGAAAGGCTTTCTTCATTAATTTCTACATTTTGTTTCCTAAGAAAAATATAGTAATTTTTTTTACAATATTTTTACATTTGCATTTTAAAATCCAATCTTTTCTTCGAGCGTCCTTTCGAAAAATATGAAATGAAATTTTCTTTCCCACCTTCTTTGCGTCAATTAGATTATTGTTGCAAGAAGCAACTGCTCCTTTTGTACCTGGCATTCTATAAATAAATAATTCTATAATTCTATAAACAAACGAATCAACACGAAACAACAAACAAACGTAACAAGTTATTAAAAATAAATACTCGTTATTATATTATTTTAGAGACGGATAAGTAGTTGACTGTTAAGAGTATAAGGTGAAAATAAATTATCAGGATTTGCATTAAAATTTGTTCATTTTTTTAATTAAATTTATTTATTTAAAGAAATTTTGACTGCAAATCCTGACAAAGATCTTCAGCCTTATAACATCGTTATAATATTAAAAGAAATACCCACGAGATCTACAAACAAAATTACACAAACATTGTGCTAAAATGTTCTCTAAATAAATATAAATCTTAGTTTTTTCTATTTATGTAATATATTTACATATTATTTCCAGAGATTTTGAAATAAAGAATTTATAAATAATCTTAATATCAATTTCGTTATTTTCGTTTCAGGTCTGGCCTGTAATTTTCATAGCATTTTATTCTAGATTGATTTAGTATTTATTTATTTATCTACTTGAAATTATCTTCAATCAAACGTCAAAAACACAGAAAAGTATTCTTCTCAATAAATTAAACAAGAAAATAAAAAAAAAAGCACTATAATGTTGAAATAAGCCTTTATTGATAGGCTTGAAAGAGTAATATGTAGGTCTGACAGTCTATTCCTTACGTCACGTTTTAAGTTCCCCCACTACGCATTTCTGAGTGAGCGAACCTGGTAGTTTTATTGACCTTGGTACAAACTAAATTTAGTACGTGTTTTTGTATAACCTTGTTGAAATATAGAGTTGTCTGTTAAAATAAAGAGTTTGGTCCTTAATTTAATGCATTCAACTCTTCTTTTCAATTCTTCCTTCTGTCCGTTCCAAGGAGAAGTGTTCTGGTTGTACAACGGCTTTCCACTCACATATAAATTCTTTAAAGTGAGGGTAATTTTCTTTGTTAACGGACTGATGGAACTAGTTTTCGGTTGAAAAGAAAAGCGCAGTTTTTATTTTAGTTAATTTTCTCTCATCAGTTCAGTTCCAAGTGTCTCAAACGCATTGGAGGCTATGACAGTTTGTTATTATTTATATTTCTATATTCCACCCTCCCATGCCACTATGGCAATACGGGTGTTTGTGATAGTGTGTTATTAGGCATGAATACTTAATAACACACTACTACTACTTAACATGATGTTGTAAATAACTTACAGGAAGTTAATTTTAAATTATTAGTTTTGGCGGGAATAGGCGCATAGCCTTCCGCTTTGATATCGGGGTTTAAGGTTATTTACACTCGTGAATCTTTAAAACAAAACCCCGGCACTGGATATCGACTTTTTGAGGGTGTTTAACTGTGATTGGGAATTCGGGGATCTATTAACTTTTATGACACTGTGTGAGAAGAAACAATGAGAATATATATATGAAATGTGGGGCTTAGTAAACACTTTGAATGAATTGACTCACCTGGTTTATTCTTCAATTGTTAGGCCTATAGGACAACTAAATAAAATGACTATTCACTCCTGTCTAACAAAACAAATTTATTTTAACAATTGATAATAAATAAATATATATATAAGTGTTCGGTCGGCTTGATAATCTTGGTCTTCAATGTAGTAAGGCTCTCTTCCCAGATGACGTCTTCTTGTGTTGGTGTCCAGGCCTTAAGTGTTTGGCGTCGTCCTCGCCATCTGTTGCCAGCTACCTGATCGGACCTTTTCTTCTTTTCGATTCTTTATCGATGTGAGAATTTCCAATGAGCAATTTGTCCACTGCACAATTGAGTACAATTCACAGTGCAATCTCACATTCCTATATATTACATATACCTTCTCATTCCCTCACACATTGTCATCTAAAAGAGTAAATACAGGGTGATGTCTACTACAATGTGCACACATCTAGCAGTTCTTCTGTTCTATCTTCTTATTTTGGCCTAGCTTCCAGAATCTGGAGGTCTTCCTGGTGCTTGTTCACTTCTTCTGCGAGCTCGAATATGGAAGTAAGAGCGCCCCACCGCCGTATACTTAAACCACGGGAAATTTTCATCGCTGAATAACTGAGGAAACTCATTTTCAGTGAGGACATAGATTCCCGCGGCTCCTGTCATAGTCTCTCTTAACATTTCAAATGCGGTGCAGGCCAATGCAAGACAATGTTTTTTTGTTTTTTTTCGTTTTTTCTCGTTCTTCCCTACCTCGCCTTTTAGGCTATACGGGATTTTCCCGGGCCGGGGGGTGAGGGCGGGGAATTTAAAATCCCCTCCGGCACCGGGACGCGAACTCGTACTTTTTATATCATCTCAAATCTCTGTTATCCGGTTGCCAGGCAACTAGCGGTGCTGTGCACTCGCTTTAGCCTATTCGGCCACCCCGCCCTCAATGCAAGACAATGTGTTCGGCGGTCTCCGATATTCCGCAACTAGGGCATAGGGGTCGATGTTCTTCCTAAGATCGGAGATCTTCCTCTCCTTCCCCTCCCCCCAACCTCTCTGGGGACCCCCATGTCGTGTGAGAAACTGTGAGACCCAGTAGTCTGGTGTGATCCACGTCACTTGTAACCTCGAACGTTGCATTATTTTCTTTTCTTATTAATTTGGCATTTGATAACAATGTGCTGTGCGGATTTTTCGCACGGGCCTATTATAGTTTTTTATAGAAAAAAGTATCTCTAAAAGTATTATTGTTCGTCTAATTACATTTAATAGGACTTAAAGAATCAGTTAAACACCATTTCATATAGATAGTTAGTTTCTTTCTTTCTTCTGAAGTAATTATCCTAATATATTCATAAAAAAATCGAGCTGAAGCCCTCCTCCTCCCAAAATTAAATCCTGGGTCCGTTAGTGAAAATAAACCTATAATTATAATCTTTTTTTTTTTTTATTTTAATGAAATTTACAAATGTATTACATTAAAAATACAACAGGTAAATGTGACATTTATAACATGACATGTAAAACATGAAGAGAAACTACCCATTGGTAGAACTCAAATTAAAGTTCTATATAAGAAGATCCCGAGGCCGTCTTCTTTTCAGACGCCTCGGGGGGTTATCAGGGATAGAGGAGGAAGCAATGTATGAAACAAGAGGGTTCGGATGATTCTGCAGTTTATTATGGAAGGATAGGTATCTGGATTGGGCTAAATCGGAAACATATGGAACATTAAGGTCTTTATGGATGATTTTGTTTGTGACAAAGTAAGGAGCGTTGAGGATTTTACGAAGGATTTTGGATTGTAAGGTTTGGATACGAGAGCAATTCGATGGTTTAGTGGAGCCCCAGAGCTCAATTCCGTAAGTCCAAATAGGTCTTATTATTGTCATATGTATGAGTCGTTTGTAATTGAGTGAAAGCTTAGAGCGTTTGTCTAGTAAGTGTTGGAGAAGTCGGAAACGTCGAGCAGTTTCTTTTCGTTTTGGTCTTGTATGAGGATTCCTTGTGAGTCGTTTGTCGAGGTGGAGTCCTAGGTAACGGATTGGTTCAACTGAGATAAGTGGGGAATCGTTAAAGAATACTGTAGGACAGGAGGTCATAGGTTTGCGACGTACAGTAAAGGTAATTTGATGGGATTTATTGGAGTTTATTTTAATCCTCCAGTTTTGACACCATTCTTCAAGATTTGTGATGTGTGATTGGAGAGTTTGGGATGCAATTGATGGATTGTAAACTGATAGGATACACGTGTCATCGGCATAGGTGGTGATGACAGTGTTGGGAAATTGTAATCTTGAATTGCATTTTCATTTGTATGTATAAATAAATATTCAATTACATATACATTTTATTTATTTCATTAAATGAATCAATATGCATTTATCTTCAAATATGCAAAATAAAATTTGGCTAATTGCATCACAGTGTATTAATTCGAATTGAAATTTGATCAGCGGTTAAAAAAAATAATGCAAACGAAATATGAAATTGCATAAAAATCCAGGCCTTGGATATAACTATTAATAAATCCAAGAATGGTTTAAGTACAGAGCCAAAAAAAAATAAAAAAATAGCTCCACTAAACTACACGTTGGGACTTATTCCATTCGATAATAGGTATCAAAACGTAAATTATGTAAAAAAAATTGCTTGCTTATATTCTCTTATTTAAGAGCATAAGTGATTTTTCTGTGTAAACATTTTATGTATCGTTAAGAAATTGTTAGGTGTGTAATTCAATCAACCTTTTTACTTGAATTAACATTATTTATTTACTTTTTCTTAGCAGTTATTACTTTTTAACTCTTAACATTTATTTGTATAAGAGAACATCTATTATAGTCATTATTAGCCGTACTCAAGTGGAACATTATGAGTTCGTTAGAAATTTTTCACGAGATGTTAAATTATGTTAGGATCCCTGTTCATTATATCGACGGTATGCAATAAAAACCTCGTAACTCCATCTGTTTTTGTAGACCACATAATTTCAGTCTCAGAGCTATATATGCCTAGAGAGATTTGAAACTACATATGTATATTTAACTTATTATTGGTTATGGATTATAAGATTATTAGGTATTAAACTCTTATTTTCCATTGTAAATTTTAAAACTAAAATGAAGTTTAAAATCGAGATTTTCATTGTCTGCCATGGATAAGTCAAATAATTGAAAGTGGATAATGTTATCATTATATGGATAATGTAATCCCGACATATATTATTACAGTAAGGCTCAAAACCGGTTTTGTGCCAAATATAAGGTCTGTCATGCTCAAATAAAATGTAAAATTCTAAAAAGTATTAAAATCTAATGCCTAAATGATGCTAAAAACGAAGGACGGTATTTATATAAGATAAGATATTTTTGGATGATTTGCAGATTATGGGCAGTTTTCATGATAAAATTTTAATAATTTTGACGCCATTTAAATACAATTTTCTAAATATCTCACCTTCTATTGCCGCTCAGCTATTAATCTGAACTAATGGTGAAGTATCAAAAGTGTTTTTTTGCTAAGTAATTAAAATAAGTAAAACTAATCATTGGGGAGGGAAATGACACGAGATTTCAACTTGGTAATGACATTTTCACGTATTTTATTCGCCCAAAATCGCTGTGTAACTAGTATTAAAATTTTTGTTTTTTTCCTTGCTACAAAGCATATTCAAACGTAAAGTATAATGAATGAAATAATTTTAACAGGTGGTGAGATAATGTACGCGGTAATAATGGCAACAATAAAGATATGTGCTCACCAACTGGTCGGTCGCTGGTCGATTCTCTTTAACATCATGGCTGCTACAACACTCTGAAGAAATTTCCCCACTGTTCCCTCTTTTCAACGCTTAAATATCTGATGTTATGTTTTTTGGTTGGCAATGGCATCAGAGTGATGGTACAATGTTCGAAAATACTTTCACATACTTCACTGTTAAATATATATATAATTCAAAATGCCTTAATTATTCTTTAGGAGTGGAAATAAATTTCACTGTCATTTTACATAGTTTTCGAAAGAAAAAAAAAAAATGTTTACTATAAAACTGAGATTGGGACAATACGTGGTAATGATGTTTTTTAGTAGCTTAAGTAATTATAAAATCACCCTATCCTTTAATATTTTAATTTTTAATATTTCATTATGATGAAATACTTCTTCACCGATTTGCAGTGAGGTCAAAAAAATGAAATTAGACTTAACTAATCACGTAAAAGTTGTAATGGACGGTAACTTGTCCTTAAAATGAGAATCATCCTTATGTATTTAATATTCTAGTTACATCCTTCGGGTTTGGTGCCATTTTCTCATAATTTATCATATGTCTATTTTAGGCCATAGGTCACCAAAAAAAACACAGTTTTTTTATTTCCTGTATGTTTTATTCAACGTTTCGGCTTCAGGAGCCATTTTCAAGAACCTGCAAAACTAATTTTAATTTATTTTTTACCATTCAAGTACAGCCTCAGACACATACTATTCAACATCCACAAGTAATACATTTAGTTTAAATTTTTTTTTTTTTTTAATAAACTTGTATCATCCACCTACCATGCACCGCGCCATAAAATTTTTAAAATTTATCATCACGATATGATTCGTCCTAATTCATTCTTTTATTTCAAAGAATGTCGTTTTCCGTTTCTAAAAATTGTAATATATAATTAACAAATTAAAATAGATTGCTATAATTAATTTAAAAAAATTATTAATTTTCGATTTATGTACCTCTATTTGCAGACGGTATCAAGAAATTATTGTTCTTCAATTTTTAGAAACGGAAAACGACATTCTTTGAAATAAAAGAATGAATTAAGACGAATCATATCGCAATGATAAATTTTAAAAATTTTATGGCGCGGTGCATGGTAGGTGGATGATACAAGTTTATTCAAATAAAAAAAAAAAAAAAAAAAAAAAAAATTAAACTAAATGTATTACTTGTGGATGTTGGGTAGTATGTGTCTGAGGTCATGGGCGGATCTACGGGGAGGGGGGGGGGGCTTTCGGGCTGAAGTCCCCCCCCCCCCAAATGGTAAAATATAACCATGTTTTATCGAAAAAAATATTTAAAAGTATCTCTTAAAGTATTATTATGCGTGTGATTACATTTAAAAGGGCTTTAGGAATAACTTAAACACCATTTCATACAGGTAGTTAGTTTCTTTCTTTTTTTCCAAAGTTATTATCGTTATTTTTATGAAAAAAAAACTTTCGGGCTGAAGCCACCCCCAAAAATTTATCCTGGATCCGCTAGCGTCTGAGGTTGTACTTGAATGGTAAAAAATAAATTAAAATTAGTTTTGCAGGTTCTTGAAAATGGCTCCTGAAGCCGAAACGTTGAATAAAACATACAGAAAATAAAAAAGCTGTGTTTTTTTTGGTGACCTATGGCCTAAAATAGACATATGATAACTTATGTATTTATTTTTAGGCAAATAATTTGGACAAAATTGATAAGAGTGGTATTGAAGTTATAATTAAGTTAAAAAGAAATATGTATGATTTTTTTTTATGATTTTTCTTATTTCCTATCAGTCCGTGTATGAAAACGTTTGCTGCCCATTGTGTGAAAATACTTTATTTTGCTTTGCTTTTGCATCCTAAGGTTTAAATGAATTAATTCATTTCATTCGATATATATTTTTAATTCTTTTAAAATTTTTGTTAACCATCATGTATAAAGTGTAAGTTTTTAAATAAAAGAAAACTAAAGTTTCGATAAGAGAATATTTGTTATATTAGTGGGAGTGAGATATAAAGACATTGGATTAGTATATACTTACAGAGAAAGCTGTGTGGAGACAGAAGAGGAAGGTATAGACCTGAGGAAGCCACATGGCAAGAAGCAAGATGTACTTTCTGGCTAGGATAACTGCCAAGTGTTCAGATTGGCGAATCCACTTCGGCCAGTCATTCGGGACGGTATATATACAATCGTCACTCAATTCATATGAATAATGTAAAAGGAAGTTATTGCATTATGCTAAAGGTTTTGTCGGAAAGATCACTATTTTTTATTTTTTTAATTGAATTATTAGAGTCATTTTGCATGCATCGTAAGAAGGATCTATCTTTAACCTTTGACACGCCGCCCCCTAATCCCAGTAGAAAATTTTTTGTCTGTAATATTAATATATCAATATGGTTCAGTTTAGATATTTCCTAAAAAAAAAAACAAAAAAAAACTCCTTTCTGATGGCAGAGATTCAGGTTATACAAAGAACTTTTTTCTTAATAGTTTTATGTGATGAATTAATCCCTATGGTGGATTTTTTATCCTGTTTGTAATATGTCAGCAACTATATGAAAATGAAATGAAATGAAAATATTTTTTTTATTATGCTGGGACTGTTGTCCCTTTAGGACGAATTACAGATACAGAATAAATGCCTGTGTGGCCATACATAAAATTAATTATTTACAATTCTTATTAAGATTAAGATTTTGGAAAAAAGAATAAAACAAAAAATAAAACAATTACACTAAAAACATACTGATATGTATAATAAAAACGTGGAAAAATAAAATAGCATTAGTAAAGAAAATCATTTCTGGGGGAACTTTATAAAGTTCTCTGATCTACATTTCATGATCAATCGGGTTGGGAAAGGAGTAGGTGCTTAAAAATGAGAAATTTAAATGAAGAAACTGATTGTACATGTCGGATATCGAGAGGGATGGAATTCCAGAAGGAGACCGCTTGAATTATAAAGGATTTGTCAAACGCTGCAGTTCGGTGGATAGAGGTCGGAGGTACGAGATCTAGTGGGACGGGATTGAATGGAATATTTGAATTGTAGGCTGAGAAAAATATAGGAAGGCCGTTGAGTTCTGATGGCTTGGTATAGAAAGGTAGCAAGGAAGTACAGACGGCGGTTGGATGGATAGAGCCACTTCAACTTGGTGTAATACTGGGTTATATGCGTATCTCTTGAGATTCCCATTAAAGTTAGTTAAAGAGTTAAAGTTTGACCTAGAATTCTCCCGAGAGTCCGCCGTACACCAGACAGCCATAGTCAAATTGGTGGAACACAAGAGAGGAAATCAGGAGTTGACGGGATTTATATGGAAGGAGATAGCGGAGACGGTTAAACCGTTTCAGGGTAGAGATAGTACGACGGGAAATTTGGGAGATGTGTGGTTTCCAGGAGAGGGTTTGATCGAATGTAATACCAAGGTTTTTTACGGAAGTACGGAATGAGATAGGTGAGTTGTTCAGGAAAAGATTGAGGTTCAGGAATATATCTGTCAATTCTTGTTGAAACTATCTTAGTATTGTGTTTGCTATTGCACTGTGAAAAGGGAAGAAGATATCATTCATTATTGGCATATTTTGATGAATTCTTTTTAAAAAGGTAAGCGTGCTGCAGAAGCTCATAGAAAAAATTTGCAGTGTTTATGGGGATGGGGCCTTAACGGAACGCACCTGTCAAAATTGGTTTGCCAAATTTCATTCAGGAAATTTTGACATCAATGATGCACAACGGTCTGGTCGCCCACATGAAATCGAAACGAGCAATGTTAAGGCCACTGTTGATCGAAATTCCAAGCAATCAGTGCGAGAGATTGCTATGGCCCTAAATGTGTCGCACACAAGCGTAGAAAAGCATTTGCACAAGTTCGGCTATGTTTCCAGGCTTAATGTTTGGGTCTCTCTCATGAATTTTTTTTTTTCGAAAATCACAAAAAATTGTAAAACTTGCATACGAGTTTAGCTATTTACAAGAAATTTAGCAGGAATTTAGGGCTACATAAACTACACAAAATGAAGTTAATTATTATTATTAACCTAGAACAACTATAATGGTTGCGAAGAAGTCTTATTTTTCGACTTCTTAGCAACCATTATACAATACTGTTTCATTAATTTTATTTTTCCAAGAAATTTACCCTCAAATATGACCGAAATTTGGAAATGACCCATATTTCTATGTTTTTTTTTTCCATCCTGATTTAAGAAGTTAGCTTAAAAAATACATATATATTTCATAAAAAAATTTGAAAAAAAAAACAAGCAAGGTAGCTGGCCTTGAGGTAGCAAAACTGGACTGACTGGCTTAGCAGAAATGGACTGACTATTCAACCCAAAATATATGTAGCAGTCCAAACCAGTGAGTAATTGTTGATTCTTGTCATGTCACTCTTATTACTCTGTATCTTCCTTTTCTCTCTCCACAACCTAGCTCTCTCTGTAAGTATATCCATTGTCTAGCAGTATATACATTTTAAATATTTTTTATATAACACTCCAAACTAATGAAAAAATTATTCTAATGACAATTTTGTTTTATTTTATTTAAAAACTTATATTTTAACTATGGAAATACAAGAAATATCTTCATATTTAAGATTATAATATTGCAATTAAATCATGAAAAATAGAAAATAAAAAATATTAGTCATACCAGTTTGTATTTTTATGTAGAACTGTCATCGAGGTTTAAACTAAAATTTAAAAAAAAAATCCATGATAATAAAAATAAAATGTGATAAAATATTGGGTATTTTTTGTGATAACTGATGAACAAAATTATTTACAGATTTATATATTTAGGGATTATATTAAGTAGTAGTTTGTCATTAAAAAAAAAAAACATCTAGATGTAAAACTGGATAAGGTAAAAGTGGCTATAAATGTTTAGAAATTAGAAAGACCTTATGAGGAAAAATCAAATTTCTTATAACCAGAAAATTAAAGTATTTTATTGAGTCGTTAGGCCGATTGTCAAGTATGCTGCACAATGTAGGGGAAGTAAACAGTATTACCAAGTCGATAGGATTGTCGATTACTTAATAAAGAAACTGTTTTATCTGCCACACTGCTTCCCGAGATCCATGATTTATTTGGAAACAGAAATACAACCGCTGTTTTTATTTACATAAAAATTACACCATGACTACATCTTAAAAGTATTCTTCATATATTATTTGATATTTCAAATGTTTAGTAAGGAAGAGTTTAAAGGAATATTATGAATTATTTTTCTCTCTTCCATATAATTGTATTTATTGATTTTGTCTAATGTTTCTCTTTTGGCTGTTTACCCATCTTTAGAGACAATTTTTAAAACTGCTATTAGTCTTCTATCAATCTTACATTGGTAAACTGCATGTCAAAAAATATTTTTCTTTATATTCCAAATTACATATAAATTTTTTTTTTTTTTATTTGTTTATTTAGACGTACAATATTCTGTCACAGGGACAATAATTATATTGATAAATGAACACATTCACACCGTATATACAAAAAAAATAAACAAAATTAACAAAGTAAAACAATAACTAAATAATAATAATTAAAAACTATATACAATAAAAAAACCTAAATATAAGTAAAGCATATAAATAAATGCATATATGGTTACTTGGATAATTTCCATTTCCACATTTCTTAATAATATAAGATGCATAGAAGACCATAATATTTGTTTGGAAATAAACTTTGACAATATTGTAGAATTAAAAAATAAATTAAATCAAGGTGAAGGTATACTAAAACAAGTCATCCAAAAATATGACATGGATAGAATAAATAAAACAAAAAATATTTGCCTTACAAAAAACTACAACATGAAGGAAATAACAATTACTTATTTCAAACAATGGGGGTTAAAGACATAAGTTGGATTCTTAAAGCAAGGTGCAAATTATTAAACCTAAATCATAAAATATATAATGAAGGTTTGTAGCTAGGAGTATGAGTGTATACTTGTATGTGTAAAATATTTTGTTCATTGTATTACAGGGAATTATATCTTAATAAAATGGAATTTATATATATATATATATATATATATATATATATATATATATATATATATATATATATATATATATTTGTGTGTGTAAATATCAATCATTGTCAATGGCAGCAAAAAGCGGCTACGGTTACGTGTCCATTTCCCGAATGTTTTGATATTAGACTTTATAGAGGTTATTTGTCATTTATGAAAATAAAATATTATTAATATTACAGATAATTGTAAGAATTAGTCTTAGAAAAAATTAGTCTTTATTCAATTTAGCAATTGAACAACCTGATATCTCTAATCTTATTAATTACATTTAACATGAAAATAATTCAAGCAGTAGATGGTTTCATTGATCATAAAAGCTAATAAGGTTTGGAAATTCAAAACAGAAAATCCTATTACATAGAACAGAGCTCTTTTTCTGAAGAAGGAACATTTACAAGAGATGGGATAATTTTATTCAAAAAATTTTCATGATCGTGAAAATAAAAGTGATTCTCGCCAAACGATATCAATACCAATTTAAAATAATAAATTATAATTCTAATTTAACATTTATGAAAAAAAAAATTAAACCTACGAATTGCTTGAATTATTTTCATAAATACATATAAAATTTAGTTAGTCACTTAATACGATAACCATAACAATAGAAATCTGGATAAAAACACTTGTGAATTATGACTTAAGATGGTAAATGTTTGCTAAATTATCACAAACATTTATTATTTTTTAACATTTATTTTAAGAAATAATTAAAGAATAAATGCTTCCTATAACAGACAAAATATGACATTTACAAATGCACAAAGATTAAATTTTCTGCAGAAAATCAAAACTATTTTAGTTTTGAAAATTTAAAAAGATTCATTGTTAAATTAAATAAAGATTTATAATTCGTTGAAATTCTCATAAACATCCATAAATAAGTTTTTATTTTGAAGATTAACATTTCTATACAGTTACATTGGGCCAAAAAAAATCTTCATCAGCTTTAACATGACATACCTATATATAAAAATACAAATTGCTAAAACTAATTATATACATATATATATATATATATATATATATATATATATATATATATATATATATATATATATATATATTTTAATCTAAAATTTAAT